CCCAGCGCTTCGCAGCCAGCAGGCCTCCCCAGCGCCCCAGCAGAATGCCGCGCGCGAGCCCAACGCCAGCGTGACCAGTCCAGCTTCCAAGGCTCAAAACACCATTTTTCGGCCCACTTCTCTTGAGCCCAAATTTGTGTGAATATAGTCAGCTTAATAAGAAACAAATCCAGCCCAAATGTCCATATAAAACTCTTGGTCAAAGTCAAATGGCTCTAGGCTAAGTTAGTGGGAGACACATTATTAAAATATTGTCTTGGTGACTACAATGTCCCCCACTACATCACAAATCCGACCAAGACCACTCCAACCCCCCATAACACTCTGAAAGAGGCTCCTAAGACCTTGCAAAATCAGACCAAGGATGTCCCCAAGGTAGCCCCTTCACCTATGCACTTGGGAGAGTGGGAAAGACCACTTAATTGTTCCCTTTGACCAATGTCTTGCACCCTCAGCCCTTAAGCCTTTATGAGACCAATTTTCCAGACCCAAGAAGCTCTTAGACACTCTTAAATTCGAACACTTTGAAAAGGAGAACCAAGAAACCCCTCTTCTAGCCACATACCGCATGCACGCACGTCCGAGGAGGCCTTCACCAAGCTTCAGCCATTCCAAGCCATCTCTCTCGAGTTTTATCACTATCCAAACATACTTTGGATTTTTATAAGCCTCTTGAGTTCATCCTTGCAGCCCAAAATCACCTAAGTCAAGCCAAAGGACTCCAAGCCGCGAGCAACCGAGCAAAAATCCTAACTAACGCATTTTTCATTTCGGTGAAGGTTAGTGTTGACGGACGTTTCCGGTCAACGGTTAAAAAGTTAAATAATGGAAAGAAAACGAAGAAAAGACAAAGAAATACGGTTTAATCACGGTTTTATTAACGGGTCACGAGGTCGGCCTCTCGTACGAGGTCGGCACTTGTGATGTACTTATATTGCTTACAAGAGTTTCTTACAAGTTCTTTAGAGAGAGAAAATATGAGCTCGAGTAGTTGGGATTTCAACAACCCAAAAATAAATGAGGGGGTTGCTATTTATAGGAGACTTTAATACGGCACTGTTTAGGCACTGTTCAGCGGTCTTGTCGCACAGTAGCTCAACGGGACAAACCGGCGCTTCTCTGACTGATTGAGAGTAATTTCCGGATTCTCCAATCATTACCTGCCATACATTTAATGCGAGCATGGGCTGCATTAAATGCGGACACGTTCTGGCTGAGTCGGACGTCCCATCGGCAATCATGCGTAGACAAGTGGCATTATTTTATTGTGTCCGACGTCGTGTTTCTATCAAGAGCCGCCCTTGCGAGACTTGGAACAAGGTGCCGACCTCGTAGCCATATGGATACGGTGCCGATCTCGGGACTTGTTCCCCCCGCCATTCCAGACAACTTCGACTCTCATTCAGATCGGCACCCACGTGCGGTTTTGGTGACGGGCTCCTTCGGCTCGGACCGGTACTTACGTTGGGTCCGGACTCGGATATCAACAGTTAGCTTGAGAAATCCTCTTTCCGTAGCTATAATATGATAAAATATGATTTACCAAGTAGAGAAATCAAGTCATGCATGTGTTTTAACATGAGTTTCGAGTTTTAAGAATTTAATACCTTAAAATCAGATTTTTAGTTCAAAGCATGTTTAGGACGATTTTATTAGCTTCAGGTCACTTAAAAATCATGATAAATATGATGTGTAAGTTTGAGAATTTTTGGAGTTCATTTACTCGGTCAACTAGCTCTAAAAAATATGCCATTTTTAGCTCCCGAGCCCCTTTAATGTGCAAGCATGTTAAGCCTATCATCTTAGCTTTAAAAATTATGTTTTCACATGTATATAACTCGGCCATGGTCTTTTGTGTAAGATAGAGTAGTGGGTTCGGTGACCCTAGGTCCATGCGTGCCTAAATAGCCCTACCGAACCAAGTTGATATGTATGAAATATATGACCAATGTTCTTGCCTCTTTAGTCATCATTTTTTATGTTAATAATTCGTCCATAAGTGATTTTATAAGTAAGCATGTTCGTTCGATGACCTAGAGTTCAAGGGTGCCATATAGGCCCTACCGAACTCTTGCACTTGCATGTCCGAGCCCTCCTATGTAATATCCCGTTCTTTTGTTAATAAAATTAATATTCTTAGTTCCGAGTTCGAACTACTTTTACTTTTATTAATATTGCTCATTTTAAACTTCCGAGCCAAGCTAGTAAGTCATTCAGTTATAAGTTCAACTTTAAGTCGAGAATCGATTCGGTTTTAAGTTTATTCAGTAACCGAGTAAATTTCGGTAATTAATTCGAAACCGTTTATTTTTATAAACGGAGATTAATAGTCTGTCCAGTCAGCGAACCGGCCGGTTCGACCGGCGGTTTGAGTCAACTTTTAGTCCGAGCTGTTTTGTTCGATTTTTCCCGGTCCGAGTGTGTTCCGGAGAATTTTCAGTATTTTTTCGAGCCAGTCCAGTCAGTTAAAGTATACCAGTTAAATATTCCGGACTTAGAATATTTTCAAGAAAAAAATCCCTTAACAGTCTATATTCATCCATGTCAAGCATCTAGATCGAGCATATAAAATAATTATTTTGAGCACAATACTTAGCATACTTTACTTATACGTTTATGTAGCCTAAGGAGAGTCGAGCCTCCAACCGCTACCTCAGTTTCGAGCACTTGCATCAGACCAGATATTTTCAGTGACCAGGTGGGGGTCATCTACTGGATTCTACATCATTTATAACATATGTACCATGACTATGGTATGTTTGAGACAGTAAGTTCTCCCAGGTGAGAAGCCGACCTAAGGGCCTTCCTAAATCCACCTAGTATCCGGCTGGGGCTTCGGCCTCAGTATCTGGATGGTGTGCACACGAGCGGCCGAAGTAAGGGCCGATATGGGTCTTTGAGACCATAGACATATGAATAAGTTTTCAGTTTATGCTCTTATATATTCTAGTCATGATATGTTATTATTGATGTTGTTTGATTCAGTACTGGTCTTTGCGGAGCATAGTGGTTTGCTCACGCCCCCATTATGTTATTTTGGCGATGGAGTCCGTCGTGCCGGGTGAGCGTAGCGTGGCGGATGTGGTCATGAGCCATGGACATTTTTACCCTCCATTTTATGCCCCATAATCATGAAACATTATTTATGTATGTGTATGTGATATGTATGATAAATCATTACGCTTCCGCTAGACTATGTGTGCGAGACTTTCAGACAGTATGTATGTATGTATGTATTCACCGTCGCCGCAGTGGCCGATGGGTTGTATGTTTTATTTTTTTCTGAATAAGTAAGTTAAGTAAGTTTTAGTAGGATCCCGCAACTAAGTAAGTATTTTCGAAAATAAACTCGCACGATATTTCGAAAATAAAAAGCGAAAAATTAACTCTGATTTTCAAAAGTCAAAGCTAGTCAAGGCGGGGTGTTACATAAACTGTGGAGATTGAATATGTTGTACATTTGATGTCTATGACTGTTCCGAGACAAGATTTCATTTTTTCAAGGTTTTATCAATATATTTTTAAATTATCATCATTATTAGTGATATTGAAGGAACTCCCTCCTGTCGACCGAATCTCACTTTCCCCTAATTGTTTAAACCCTAACTAAAGAAGTGCCCCCCTCCCGTCAGACGACGTAGTTGTAATGAATCGGTTGCTAGCGAACTAATTAAAAACCAGTCAACGATCGATTGCATCGATCGAAATCAGTCAAAATCAACAAATCAAATCAGTTTGAACCAGTCTAATGTTTTTAAAAATTAATTTAATATATTTAGTAATATATTTTTTATATAAATAAATAATACATATGTAATTATAATGGATGTGTAACATTTGAATGATTTAAATTGACATAATATTTAATTAACAAATTCTTGTATAAAATAAGTTTTATTATAAACAATATATTAGGCAATATACCTTATTAACCTTATTAATAACCTAAAATTACTAAAGTGCCATTAAGAATAAAAAAAATAAATCAATTTCAATTTAACCCAAACCCATTATATATTCATCTCCTTCCCTAAAACATCTCGACACCTCCAAATCAACATTCTTTCAGCTCTCTAAACCTACCTACACATATTTCAGCTCAATAGCCACAAATTCCCAAAAATCTCGACAAAAATAATTTCAATTTCGATCTCATCTCCCAATTTCAATCTGAAACTGCATAAATTTCTCGAGGGAATAGGAATTCAATCTCCGCCATTGATGATGTCTGCCACCTGGTGCTTGAAGTCGTCGGGGAGGACGAGGACGGACACGGCGGTCGTGCGTTATACAAAGGTCTACGAGGCGACGGAGGGTGAGGCTTGGGAGTGGAGCAAGCGGACTGAGTCTGCATCTTGGAGCAGGTGTTGTGGCTGAGGGACAAACACTTCTCAATGGAGGTCAGGTCGTCGGTCACGCCGGTGCAGAGGCTCGCCACGCCCATGGTGATCGGGCACCAGAGGTTCGGGGCCTTCATTTTATGCTCATATGAATCATCCCTATTTTTTGGTTTTTCATTCTAAAATTTAGCTTAACTAGGGTATTATGGTTAACTTTGGCCAATCTTATTCACTAAAACATTGGCGGCGAAAATTTTTTATTTGGCGCTCACTGCCTTGTTTCATTTTGGTACACTTATCTATTTAATGTAGATAAAGACTGAATTCAATGTGATTGTATCTTCTGTTAATATCTCTCCTCTCCCTCTCACTCATATAAGTCCAATATTACGCTAACAATTAACGAAGTTATAATCTGCTTTCTCTTTTGCATCAGTCTGTTCTTGAGGAACTGGAGGTCTGCAGGCCCTAGATTTATCTTGCTTCTTTATGTTTTACACATTTTTTTTACCCAATAGTAGATTGTTTGGTTGTGCCTTACATTAATTTTGAATAAATATTTACTTGGCTTCTGTTATTCATGTTTTTCATTCTTTCGGATGGATATGTTTTTGCCTCAAAATTTGATGGATATTTTTTACCTCGTACAGATTTTTTCAAATGGCTCCGGGAGTTCGGAATCCAAAAGCAAGAATCATACCAAATAATTCTCGGCAGAGTCTCATGGAACACATGACAAATACAGGAGCTTTAGCAAAGAGTAAAACCCGACAATCTGAGAAAACCGATTCGGCATCAGACAAAGTGAACAAGGGATTGCCAATAACTGATGGTTCGTCTATACGAAGCGCAAAATGCGAATCCGACGTTCGAGGGAAACATGGTAACTATTTGGCCTCAGCCTCCTCAATCTTAGCAAAAGAAGAGTACTCTTATGCCAGAAATTCAGACTCCTCAAACTCGAAAAATGATCTGCAAAATCAAAGTCAGCAACATGGAAGCAATCCTGATCCTCCATCACATCAGAGAAATCAACATCGTCAATCACCTCAGGCAGATATCATTGGTACGTATATAATACTCCGAAACCGTTGTGATTTTACAGTTCCAAATACATGCTAAACATGCTGTAGGAACAGATATCATTGGTATGCATTTTGATTTCTTGATTCTTTTGTTTTTTCTCCTACTATTTATCTGTTGTATGAATTGACTCAATTGTTGTACCGTACATGATGTATGTGAAGCAAAATCATGTTTAGGACCTTAGGTGAATCTCCTCATGGGAATTTATCGTTTTAGTTGTGATAAAGTACAATTCTTTCTTACATTTGTTGCTAGGGTGACTTTTGTATATGGAACAAAGACACAGTTCTTTCTCATTCCTTGGTTTTGTAGGGTATTTATCCATTTTAGTTGTTATTTAATTGTTTTGGGGACGATCGTAAATTATATATCTTATACCAGAGGCTGTTGGGAACAAATTATTCTATGCGTGTTTCTCTATCATGTCATTCGCATACTGTTTCAAGGCACAACATTCTCTTTTCTACTTATCTCCATTTCTAATGTTGTTTTTCAAATTTAGTCTGAAAGTACCTGGTTTGGCAATACTCTAAGTGTTGATCTTGTGGATCAATAAACATCATAATATTACTGGATTGCTTAACTTTATTCCTGGATTGCTGAAATTTATCATAATATTCCTGTATTGGTGAACTTTATCCAATAAACATACCTGGTTAGACTACATAACATAATTGAGTTTTATTTTTCTTTTTTTTTTTATTAAATTAAAGATGCAGGATTGCTGAACTTTTATTTTGGATTTGGGTTTTTTTGTGGAAAATTATAGTGATTCATGTTGTCAATTTTAGATTTAAACAAATGTCGAGAGTTCCTTAACTTGATTGAAGGAAATCTTACTGTTAGGGACATTTGTAGTTAGCAATCTTGAATTGGAATTTTTTTTCATAAGAGGAACTATAAAAATTAGCTCTGGAGCTTAAATTTAGGTACCCAAAAGTAAAAGACAGTCTTTTGTACAATTTTATCAAATTTCACATGGTCCATTAGTTTAAATTATTTATGTTTTCTTCTTTGCTTTTTGTCAATACTTCTCTTTACTGAACATATCTGTCAAGACGTATTTCACTGAACATATCTGTCAAGGCTTCTCCTGATTTCAGCATTCATGCACACAGTTATTCATAATTTGCTCAGTTCTTTTACTGAACATAAAGCTTGTGTGAAATTCATTAAAATTCATAATTTACTCAGCTTGTATAAAAACTTGTGTGAAGACTTGAGACAAATTGTCTGAAAGTTTGTTCTTTAAAATTCATTGGATTTACCTAGTGGTTTATGTTTAGTAGTTATGAACTGAGGGATTAGAAGTTATCTGGTGGATTTGTACATGGTGGTTTAGAAGTTATCTTTGTTTCTAATGTTGTTTGTCTAATTATAGTCTGAAAGTTACCTCTTTAAAAGTTTTTGTTAAGAATTTACCTGGTGGATTTACTTGTTGGTTTAGATGATATCTCTGTTTTTAATGTGGTTTGTCAAACTATAGTATGAAAATTTGTTGTGCAGATTTCTTTGGTGAAGTTATTTGATAACTGTTGATAAATGTGTCATTGAATCTACTTTGGAACTCCAGTGACTTGTATAATATAAAAAACATGCATGTTCTATATATACATGTGCCTTTGCCTTTCACAGATTTTTTCTTATGAGTAGGAAGCTTTCGACTAATTAAAATAACCATCATACTTATTGAGTGGTTAACATGCAGCTTCCAATACCACCAGTAAGAAAAGGCGTGGACAAACCATGGGCAAAGGTATTATGAAGGCATTTCAGGCTTGTGTGAAAAAAATGAAGATAACTGTGGATCCATTGATAGGAAGACCTAAAAGGAGAGACGAGTCTTCGAAATTTTCTAGTCAAATTAGTGTAGTCACTCGAGATGTCCTTCCGGTGCCAATAAGGTGGAAAGATGTTGATGAAGAAAAAGATCTTCAACCTGCCATTGATCATATAAAGGTAAAAATAACACTTTTCAAGTTACATGAATACATTTTTATATCACCTTAAATGATCTCATTTTTATTTATGTAGATCCACATGGATATTAACTTCGATGATTCGGGTGTGAAACGCTGCGTGATTGATCGAGTCCATGCTAGTTCACGGCAAAAACGTTACAGACTACACCAACATTACAAGCAATATTCCTCTCATGAAGAAGCTAAGAATAACAAGTCGTCTTTTTGTGCTAGTCAAGAAATCTGGGAAGAAATGTGTGAGCTTTTTACATCGCCTAAATTCAAGGTAATGCATTATAACATTATTCTTCTATTTGCATATTAAATTTGTAGTTTTTATATTTTTAGTTTTCTAGTGTTCAATAATAGTATTTATGTTTTGGCAGCACCTAAGTTTGATTAACGGGATGAATCGACAAATGTTGTGCGCTCCACATGTTTCGGGCTGAACACCTTTTACTGTTCTTCAACATGAAATAGTAAGTTTATGTTCAAGATATTAATTTATTTATGATCACTAGCTTTTTTATTTAAACTATTTATGTTTATTGTTTTAATTTAAACTATTTATGTTTATTGTTAAAAAAAAATATTGTAGTCTGAGAAGGAGTTGAATGGAGGACCACTAGATATAATTGAACTTTATAAGCGTACGCATTATAAGGAAAAAGCTGGTTGGTCAACAAAAGAGGCAGAAGAAAACTGGGTAAGTTGCATGCACAATCTCTTATTCTAATTGTTGAAATGAATATCAATATGATTATATAGTTTTTATTGCTATTTGTCAGGACTTGATGATATCAAGGAGAGAAAAATATTCTGAATAAGGCACTACGAAGAGTGCACAAGATATACTTCTTGAGGTTCTTGCCCATGGAGCTGGATATATAAAAGGTTATGGGTATGGTCCAGAGGCCGCCAAGTAGACGCAAAGCATATGACTCGAACGGCTAGAAGAAACTTTTAGAGACACAAGAAAAGTTGCATGGAAAAGAATCTGAAGTGCTTGAGCTTAAGGACCAAGTTAGTGATTTGAAAGATCAACTAAATCAGCAAGGTGCCAAAGTCGTCAAACTTATGGCTTTCATGGCTGCCACTGGGATCCAAATCTGAGATTGTTCGGCTTTGTTATTATTATTATTATTATTATTATTATTATTATTATTATTATTATTATTATTATTATTATTATTATTATTTTATTTGGCACATTTTGAAATTGTTAGTTCGTTTATATATGTTTTTAATTAGCAAACTTAATATTATTGTCGTTTTTTTATTTATCATCTAGAACATATTATTATCATATATTAATTATAAAGATTTTGTCACTGTATTTTCTTTTTAATGACATAATTGTTTAGAGTGACGATAGATTTTGTCATTGTATCATATATTTCATGACAAATAACTATATCACTAAATATATGCAATTAATGATAATTATTATATTTGTAATAGTGACAAATTTTAAATTGTCATTGAAATAATCTTTTTATGACAACATGTAGTCGTGATGTATTTGTTTGGACTTGTCACCATATAAAATGTTAAAATGACAATAACTTTTGTCACTAAATATTTACCTTTTCATGACAACTTATGTTGTCATTATATCTCAAGCTTTTGATGACAATTATTTTTTTCATAATCATAAAGCTAATATTTCATAACAAAAGGTCTCGTCACTTTTATATGTTCTTGGAGACGATGAATATTTCGTCACTATTTCTATTTTTTTTGTGACACTTTTGTTATTGTCATATTTAAAATTTTCTTTTTGTGACGGTCAATATTTTGTAATTATAAAACAACTCTTTGATGACGAATTCTATGAAATATGACGATTATCTTAATTAAAATGCCACAAATATATTCATCATTGAAATTTATAAATTTGATAAAAAAATAAAATTCGTCACTAAACAATAATATTTAGATGACAAAGGTAAGTTTTCGTCATTTAAAACTTGTCTTTTTACGACAAAATAATCGTTTATATGACAAAATTTTCATAATAAACGTGATGATTATTGTCACGAAAAATGACCACATAACATGACGAAACTTAAAAACGTCATTAAAAGTTAAACATTTGGTGACAAATTCGAAATTTGTCACCTATACCTAATATGACGCGGCTACGGTGACGATCGCTGTGATGATAAAATTTCGTAATCATTGTACTATTGTACTAAGCGTGTCACCAGTCCTAAATGAGCGCAACTCATTTTCCACCTCTCAATCTTCACACTTCGAGATTCAAGCACGAAGTTTCTCCAATTAAAATGTCCTCGATCGTATCTTCAAATGTTTTTACTACGTCCCGGGGTACTCAGGAATAGGCCGAAACATTATCGACGGATATACAACGACTAGACAATTCATAGTAGTCGTCAGCGCGTGGCTTAGCCCGAAATTACATTACTATACACTTGCGGTGCTCTGTCGGGTTCCATTAGTTGTCTTGACAGCATCTCGAAATTTGATTAGGATATCATCGATAAGGATGATGACAGACTGACTAGGATATGAATGGAAATTCTCGGTCTATTAGGTCCACAAAAACGACGTGGCAAAAACTCCGCCCAAAAGACATAACCACAAACGAAGCATTGGTATACGACAAGTGGAATAAAATACTTGTCTTAAATGATCCACAAGGTTGCAACACAAATAAGATCAACTTTTTTACAAGGGTTCGCAAAAGTCCCAAGACAACAAAAGATTTCTCTCGACACTCCGAAAGGAGTAGAAGAACGAGAGTTTCTACGATGGACAAAATTTTCAAAACAAAGATGGTTCTGCACCTCACGATGTGCTTGCTCCGGACTCGACTATACTTCTTAAAAGATCCTTCATAATCTTTTAAGGTGGAAAAACACTCCTTGATTTGCGTCAAATCACTCCATCTTTCTTATCGACCCTAATTGTATTGGCTTCTGCTCCTGTACGTTCATCTCGATGCAGAGCATGAATAATTATTGTCTTCCTTGAGGGAAAGCTACCCTCGAAAGTGGCGATAGGAATTGTGCCCTCGAGTTTTAGTGATAACTTAGCGATGACATCCCGAAAAAAATCACATACTTTGCAAACGAATTAAGACAAGCAGAAATAAAAGATGCTTAATCTTACTTGCAATCAGGTTTTTCAAAACATAATCAATACCCAACTTAAGATAAATAAGAATTGGTTAAACTTCAAGACGAACGAAATTTAGAGTTGGAAAGCTCGAAAAATTGCTTACACAGCGAAACCAAGGTAGGGTTTTGAACACGGCTATACCCCAAATAAAACTAGAAAAGAACTAGGTCGATCGTAAACCTTCGGTGTCTATTGCTCGCCACATATCTACAGGCTATTTTATTCCCAAGAACTGCAACGTTACTCTCTCTGTTGAACTTTCACATCGAGTTAGAGTCATCACAAAACGAGTTTCAAAATATGAGGATCAATAAAAATGTCGATGCTCAACTCCATCTGAAGCTCTACGTCAGGAAGGGAAGATCAAGCGAAATTCCTAAAATACGAAAATTGGGTAACAAAAGAAGCCTCAAGCGCAATTCAAAATTGTTTTCCATGCAATAGGAAAAAGTTTCAAGAGTCTACAAGAAGACAAAAACTTAAGAAAGGAAAAAAAAAAACTGCTTCGCCTTCACGAGTCCACGATTCATTGCTTTTATCATCGATTTAAGTTGTCCTCGGTAAGTCTCGCTGCCGCTAGGAATTCGCTCGCAGCTTATTATACGGAAGAGAATTTCGACGTCTCTTTCAGGATAGCAGTGGCACTCGAAATCACGGCATAAGATATTCACGCGGTGTCAGATCAGTCTATCCACCCTAAGAACAGATCAGATTCCTTCATTTGAGAATTTTCACAAAAGAACAGACCACTATCGCCTTTCTCGAGCCACTCTCGAGAGTTGCGACAATGTTACATATTAAGTTTTCTCACCACTCATCGTGGTCGAACAATAGTATGGACAAGGCACCTAGACTCTCCTCCCGGTTCGCATTCGACTGGGTTCTAACGCGCATCTGACGAAGGTTGCCGACGTCCGAATAACCCATACACCTGGGATTTCTTCAGTTGTCTTCTCCCTTCACTTAAGCCTTTCTCCTTTCGAGATGGCTTGCCAATGGTCTTCACTTGAAGACACTAAATTTACATCAAAGGGACTGCTACAACAGAACACAATTCGATAACATCATGCCTAATTTACCCAACAAAGAAATTCTCAAATCAGAACTTAACTATATATCGCTAGAGTTCAAGTTCATACAATTGAGTTCGCCACTCATCTAGAGTTTAAGAACATGTAAAAGTAAGAGGATAAATTCCTAAGCACCGGTTTACATCTCATAATATCATAATACTTCACATAAGCAATTCAATATTACTCAAGTATTCATACCTGAGTTGGTGCGACACGACGGAAGCGAGTGGTCATAACTACATCACAGTATTCAATTATTTCTCAGAGTTCACATAATTCACGTGTAGCAGTCTACAGAAAAGTAGACCTGCTCTGATACCACACTGTAACGCCCCAGATTTAACGAAAATCCATGGCTTTTCAGAAAAATCAATTTAATTTTTTGAAATTCATTTCAAAATACTCGAGGCGTTACTCATTTAAATTCAACGCCAATCATCATGTCATAACATAAACTCCCAAATCGGGATTCATAAAATCATAAGTCATCACATTACCCAAATCGGGTTCTCAAAAGTCATCAATCTCCCAAACCCGGTTTTCAAATTATCACAGTGTTCATGGGACATCTCCTCAACATTATTCTCCATAATCATAAAATCTCAGAGTTTCATAAAATAATAATATCATAAAAACAGTTCATAGATAGCGGAAGAAACAATTAAACAACCGGTCATAAAGACCAACCACCACTTGCTCCACTCTGCCGTTATGCCCACCCTGCTCAACCTGAAATGTTAATTTCAGGTGGGAGTGAGCACATATGACAATCGTAGTGCTCACCACTATGCAATAAACAATAGTCAATATATAAAAACAGTATGATCGCAGCATCCATAAGAATCAATTAATTATCTCAATTTCCATCATAAATTCACAGTATTAAGACTCATGTGCACACCTATACCAATAGACTACTGCCGGTAGACGTATCGAATGCCCTCGTTCAGGTCTTACATCGAATGCCCCTCGTGTAGCGCCCCGTTCGATTTATAGAATTTTTTGGATTATTCTATTAATCGAATATTATTTATAAGGTTATAATTAATTTATTGGTCACGATGTCGACTTAAATAAAAGGTTGGAGTACTCGATCGTTTGATTTAAAAACGTTCATTGTTCGGCGATTTCGGTTTAATCGCGTGAACCGAATATATTCCATTTTGAATACTGGATTTTTCGGATATTTTGACATTATTAATATTGTTATTTTATTTTATTTTTCTGAGCGTTATATATGTTCTGAGTTAATGAAATTGTTCCTGATAAACCGGTAGTCGAAACCGGCCGATTAGTAAACTCGTTTATTTATGAATAATTTTGGTATTATTTATTATTATTGTTATTGTTATTATTATTATTATTATTATTATTATTATTATTATTATTATTATTATTATTTATTGTTATTATTATTATTATAATTATTAATAAATGTCTAATTGTCATTATTTGCCAAATTGCCTATTATTATTATTAAATAAATAATGTGTGTATTAAAAAATATTTTTCTGGATATCGTATTTTTTTATTTCCGAGCGTCGTATATATTTTCGGAATAAATCTAGCCCAAGAACCCAGAATCGAGCCTTATTATATTCAGCCCAAAAGAGCTAAATATTTCAGCCTTTTTGTCCAAGTATTATCGGCCCGTTAAAGTATTCTCGGCCCATGAACCTTGATGCTGACCCATAGCTCTTAACCCTATTACACGCCGAAATCTCTCATATCTCTCCCTCGCCCGCGTATCAGCAGAAGAAAGAAAAACCCTCCCTCCCGATCATCTCATCGTCGCGAAAGAAGAGAACCTCAGTCCTCGTCAATTTCGTTCCCAGCCTTCACGTTGCCAAGCAGAACCATCGTCACCAGCAGGCCCTTGCCGGCGATCCTCCACAGCGGCCATCCATCGCTGGTGCCACCCGCGGCGTTCCTCGACGGCGCCCTCTTCCTAGCGACGAGTCACGACCGGCGTTTTATGCAACTTCCAACGAACCCAGCAGCAACTCCGGCGAGCCCTTCTCGTCCGCGAGTTATCGTCACGATCATTTTCGGTGAGCCCTTGTGTGCGCAGCGCCCCCGCAAGCACCACCATGCGCCGCTGCGCACTTCCGGTGAGTCTCTGCTCCTCCACCAACCCTCGCCGTGAACCAGTAGGTCACCCTTGACCACGCGGACGACCCCCAGCAGCGAGCCGCCGTCCTCAGCCGTTGCCCACTTCGCGAGCCGCGCGTAGCCGCCGAGCGCCGCCGTGTGTGCCATCATCCCTGTTCGCCTCCCTCGTTCCATTTTTCGAATGTTTTTCCCCAAAACGGTATCGATGGCTCAAACCTTAACTCGTTTTGATTTATTCGTTGAGGTTATTCATATGTTGTTCATGATTTGTGATCCTTGTTGATTCTTGGTACGAATAGTCTCATTATATTATATGTCTTGTGTAGTAGTCTCTTCGATTTTTGTGAAATCGAGTGAGATTATGCTAAAACGTGAAAGTGCTGTGGAATTTGGAACTTAGGGACGTCCTTCACACAATGGTTTTGACCTTCTGTCAATTTGAATTTTATATTGAGTGTTATGGATTTTTGAAATCAATGTTGCTGCCGGAATTTGTAAAATACATGATAATTCGAGCTGTTAGTCAAAAATTTAGATTTTTCGATATGTTCCTCCTCTGTGGTATATATGTAGGTGGTAAAAATTTGGGATTTTAATTCGGTATTTTTCATGGTCAAATATCAATTTTGATTTCTGGTCAGAAAAATAGAAAAAACATAATAAATTCAGTTGTGCTCCAAAATTGCTGAAATTTGAATATGTTGTTCCATGCCACGTGTGGTCATTGTGTAAAAATTTAAGAATTTTAAGACTTCATTTTCTAGGGTAAATAATTAATTGACAGTTTCTGCTGAACTTTGTATGAATTATTAAAAATCGACCCTTGCTGTAAATTGCTAAATTTTGGTTTATAAGCTCATTCGAGGATGTGTTTCTTGATGTAAAACGTTCAGATTTAATTGAGTTCATATTGATATGTTTTTGTTGAAAATATGAATTCTGTTGAATCTTGCGATAAATCCCTTAAATCGTGTGTTTAATGTTTAGAGTTGGAAATTTTATATGTTAGTCCTCTCATGCTGTAGTTGGTTGTGTATAATTTTTAAGGCTTGAATCGTTCATTAGGTCAGGTTATGAATTTATGCTAGTTTTTGCTAAAATCATTTTTGAATTTTATAAAATTGGGTATTTTGATTTAAGGGCTGAAACTGGGTGGTTTGGCTATGCTCGGTGATGTGAATTTTGTGTTAAAATTTCAGATGTTAACTCGTTGTTTTGCCTGATCATCTAGAAGAGGTGCTATGTTCATTAAATATTGTCAAAATTTAGTTTTATTTGTTTATGTCTAAATTTTAAGGTGATCTTGTTTATATGTTGATCCATATTATTTGTCTTGGCCATTCTTTAATTTGAAATTATGTGTATTCCCATCTTGTGTTGGTCTAGTCTAAGTACTTGGTCCAAGAATTCCAATGTCCACAGGACTTCACGAACAACTTAGTCGAATCAAGTTCGACTAAGTATGATTTGTGTTTTCCGTTCAAAGTCAAGATAAATGTGATTGTAGTATCTTGACTAAATGTAGGTGTTTGAGGAGACAAGCCTCAACCTACGTCCAGTGCTTATTGTGTTTTAACAAATCCGGAATCCAGGTGGGTTAGTTATTCTAAAAAGTCCATGCTATGTGTGTTTAAATATGTTTGAAAATTTGGTATGATCTATGTATGCACGTGAACATGTAGCCTATCGATGTGAGCTACGGCCGTCGGTGCGGTTATCCCCGTCGTTGTAATACGGTTGCCTGTTGCGAGGCAAGTCTCCTTAAGACCTAATGAAAGGTCGTGTCCTTACGTGGCACGTACTCTCGCCGTTAGGGTATTGAATCCCCTTTCCGTGACTAATGAAAGATGTGTACACAGGAGTAATACATATTGATGTGATATTATGTAGGAGATGAGACATGTTGTTGTCGATTATGTTCATGCTGCGACCATACCTTTTATTGTTATAAATGTACATATGCATAGTGGTGAGCATTATATTTTCCTTTATGCTCACTCCCACCTGCTTTTCATGGATGCAGGTTAAGCAATTGGCGGATGACAAGACAAGGCGATTGGGTGTTCTTTTATTTATTGTCATTAATTGCTTCTACAGTGTATGAACTTATGTTGGACTTGTTGGACATGTTGGATTGGTTTTGAAACCTTTCTACTTGATATTCATGAGTATGTGATTTAATGGAGGTTTTGATTATTTTATTGTTCATGTTGATGTGAAATGGGTTAATGAAGAACCTTTGAAAATCAGGTAATGAATCCCCGTTAGTTCAAACACGACTTGAACTACGTGTTGAATTGAATGAGTAACACCGAAATGTATATGAATCGAAAAATGAATTTCGAAAATTTATATTGTGATTTTTTGGAAAAGTCAGAGATTTCCTTTATAATCAAAGTGGGGCGTTACAGTTTGGTATCAGAGCCAGTCTGCGTTTCTGTAGACTGGCATATATGTGAAAAACATGTTTATGTGATTTAGCCTTGTTTAATGACCACTCGTCTTCGTCATGCCGCGCTGCTTAAGGTATGTGTTTATATAAGTATCAATGAAAATGCTTATATTGTTAAATGTGAAATTTGTACATAAGTAGCAATGAAACTATTTGTGAGATAACTTGTGATGTGATTTGATGTATCATGTTGCTATATGGGGCTTAGGAATTTATCCTCCTGCTGTTAAGCATTCTTGAACTCTAGTATTTAATGGTGAACTCTAGAAGAGTTACAAACCTCCGTATGTAAAGACTTGAACTCTAGCGGTATAGAGTAAAGATCTGACTTGGGATTTTGGTTATTAGGAATTTAATATGATGTTATCGAGCTGAGTTCTGTTGTAGCAGTCCCCTCGTGAAGGGAGCAGACGACTAAAGAAATCCCATGTGTCGGTTATTTGAGCATCTGTAACCGTTGTCGATAAGACCATTAGACGCGTGTTAGGACCCAATCAAGGATGACCGGGAGTGGGGTCTAAGTGTCAGGTTTGTGTGGATGATCTGATTCCTTTTTGCCTATGATCCGTTAAGAACGATATAATGGTTGAATTTTCCCTATTTTAAATCGTTCGTTTTTCATTGGTTTGATTTAAAAATTCGTTGGTTAGTCGGGTATACATTAGTTCTTATGCTCGTCTTATGCGTTGGTTATTTTATTGAATTTTTTGTGGATATCCGGACTCTCGAGCCGCTGTGATTAAATCATGTTAGTCAGAGCCTTGTTTGGTTATCCGAGCAGTTATCTCGTGTTGATTGAGATTCGTCGAGTGTGAAGAGTGAAACCTTATTCGTGACCCTTGTAGCGGTAGATGTCCATCGCTGTTTTTGACTTTCGAAACTCGGACAAATGTTTTTGAACTCTTTTGATGAATTGGAGTCCAATCTCCTATGTTCCATCTCGAACGAAATCATGTTGTTACCATTTTTATTTTAAGAAATTTGGCCAAAGTTTGGCAATTGTGCGTCCAGTTTCTTTTGCTCAATCTTGTAAGTGATCTGGTTTCATTGCCATTTTTAGCCCTAAACCCCATTATCTCCTTTCAAATTTTTCATGTAAATTGTATATCAACATGTGCCCTTCATGAGGAAAAAGAATCGACTGTGTACCATATTGAGAATAGTGTCGAGAATTCGATCGTTGCGAAATCCGTTTTTCGTTTTAATCGCTGATGTGTGAGTTTGTCATTATTGCTGTTTTTGTCCCCGTTTCTGGTAACCTGAGAATCTTGACGTCTTCATGCGAATTGTAATTTTATCTCCTAGGTTTCTAATGGCGCGAGATTCATCTACATATCTTTTATGTACAAATAGATACGCCCAATGTTCGATCGTCGTGCAATCTGTTTTTCTGAAATTGACTGCAGGTTTAATGTGTAAATTTGACCTGTTGTAGCCCTTCAACTTGGCCGTTTACACCTTTCCCGCCCAAGTGTTTTTCGCTTACCCTTGATCATTTCCTTTTGCATGGTGGTCAAGATGAATTGTGTTTCCATTTGCGATCCCATGCGAGCATTGTTCTTGTTTTTGGTTCAAGTGTTGCAACCTTGGGTATTGGTAAAGGCAAATATTTGATTCCACTTGTCATATATATATCATTCCTTCCGTGGTGGTGACGTCTTCCGGACTAAGCCACACGCTGACGACTGCTATGTATTGTCTAGTCGTTATATTATTGCCAATAGCGTCTCGGCCTATTCTGGAGAACCCTTGGACGTGATAAGAATATCTGAAGATGCGATCGAATACATTTTGATGGGAGGAACTTCACGCTTGAATCCCAAAGTGTGAAGATTAGGAAGGGAGTTGCGATCGATTAGGACTACTGGCACAGTTAGCTACTTGGGTAAGAGCTGACATGACAGCCGACACTGTTAGTCGGAAGAGTCGATGCGAGCTAGTTGTCGTAATTCCCGTCAGGAGCTATTGGTTGGGATTACTCCCGACAGGTAAACCATATTTGAATTCTTTTGAGAATTCTCGTCTATCACAAGTGTGTGATCTTTTCTCCTGTTATAGTGTGTCGTTTGGAAGGTAGTGGACTCAGAACTCGGACTTGCACTTTGCCATTTCTGAAACTCTCAAAACTTTGGAAATGTGAAAAGTCGAATTGTAGCGCCCCGTTTATTTATGGATACTTTTAGGATTATTTATTATTATTTATTAATATTATTATTACCATTGTTTGTTATTAATATTATTGTCATTATTATTATTATTATTTTTATTACTGTTATTATTATTTTATTTAAATGCCTAATTGTGAAATAAATGTTTAATGTATATTATTATTATAAATAATGTGTGAAATATATTTTATTATTATAGCCGAATTTTTGTTATAAAATATCGTGCGAACCGAGCCATTTTATATTGGCTAAATCAACCGATTTATCGAGCCCGAGAGATTGAGCCCGAGAGAACTGTATGCATTGGATCGAACCTACGACTT